GCTAACAAGTGTTGGAAAGGATGTGGAGAAAAAGGAACCCTTCTTGTGGGATTGTAAATTGGTGCAGTCACTGTGGAAACAGTATGGAAGTTCCTTAGAAAATGAAACTACCTTAGAACTACCACATGACCCAGAATTCTACTTCTGGATATTTATCCGAAGAAAACCAAAACACTAATTTGAAAATATATGTGCACCCTCATGTATCTGCAGCATTATTTACAATAGTCAAGATATGGAAGCAACCGAAGTGTCCATCGACAGATGCATGAGTAAAGAAAATGCGGTACACACACACACACACACACACACACACACACACACACACACACACAGATGAATATTATTTAGTCATAAAAAGGGAAGAAATCTTAGCATTTGTGACAACATGGGTGGAATGTGAGAAAGCAATGCTAAGTGAAATAAGTCAGAGAAGGACACGTACTGTATGATCTCACTTATATGTGAATCTAAAACAAAAACTGAACTCATAGATACAGAGAATAGATTAGTGGTTGCCAGAGGCTTGGGATGGGTGAAATGGATGAAGGGGGTCAAAAGTCCACATTTCCAGTTATAAAACAAGTCCTGGGATGTAATGTACAGTATGGTAGTTATAGTTAATAATGCTGTATGGTATGTTGTAAAGTTGCAAAGAGAGTACATCTTAAAAGTTCTCATCATCCGTAGTGGTGGATAGTGTCGGCCCCTGGACTGAAGGGTCCCAGGTTGATTCGCATCAAGGGCATGTACCTCAGTTGCAGGTTCAATCCCCCACCGCAATCCGGGCATGTGCTGGAGGCAACCAATCAATGTGTCTCTCTCACATCGATGTTTCTTTCTCTCTGTCTCTCCCCCTTTTTTCCAGTCTAAAAATCAATAACCAGATTTATTATATACAGCGAAACAAATCATTGTTTTGTGGTTATCATTTTGCAATACTTACAAATATTGAATCATTATCTTGTATACCTGAAACTAATATAATGTTATATGTCGATTACATCTCAATAAAAAAAAAGAAAAAATATTATTCTAAGCAAAGCTTCTTTCAAATTCTGTTCTGGAAGGTGAATACAAAAATTGACTTCACTTCCATTTCTATTTAATACTATTCTCTTTCATAATACATAACAATGCATGCTGCTTTTGTGGTTTGAAACAATATTTGCATCTCCTTCCAGAGGGGAAGCTACATATGAATGTATTTTTTAAGTATTATGATTTAGGATACTATATAGATTTCAACTAAGAGTGTGTCTCAGGAACACAGGAGCTTATATAAAAAAAAATAACCATTGATCCACAATCAGTCTAGTTAGACGTTTATAAGGAACAAGAACCCTTTTGACTATCAGTTTCCTCATCTATAGAATAAAGAAGGTGGATTAGATTGTCTCAAAAGCCCTTGGAGATATAAACTGCTACAAATCAACAGAGAACCATTTTTATATTAGAACTCTTAATGTACAATTAATGGTTCCTTAGTGATTTAAAGAGCTTTTATGTCAGTGAAAACGCACCAGTGCAAAGCCTCTTACATTATCCTGGTTTTATTCCATTTGTCATTATAATAGAAGACCATTTTCAGTCTCATGAGAACATTTCTCGTGGCTAGACAATTTAAGATTTTTTTTTCTCTTTATATATGGCAACACGAGAGGCCGGGAACCGCACTTAACGGTGATCCTGTAGTTTTCAGTGATCTTGTTTTCTTCAGATGTTGGCAAGATCTGTATTGTCTAATAAAATGGGTTACGACTGTTTTCAATTTGATTTTTTCTTAAGTGGATAAAAAAGTGATTTGAGACTCCTGACAGAAGTCTGTTCTGTATAGTTCCCAACTAGTAATATTATGATACATGGTAATCCCTTTGTGAAACCCTCGTAAATGGTGATGAATTGGAAACAGTATTAAGAGCAAATCGAAGCCTGCTTATATTCCGTACCACTTGAACACACTTGCCTTATGAAAATGCAACTACATTAGAAAGTCTTCCATTTTCATAAGAATGCCTAGACTTAGTGATTTCCATGCACAGCTGGTAGACAGTAGGATAGACTTCCGGTGATGATGTATCATACCTTCTCTCCCTTGGGTTTGAAGGAAAGATATATTTGAGATGTATTATACTTTTTAAAAAGGGTGTGTAAACATTGGTTTTACTTCCATTTCTGCTTAACACTGTTGCATTTCATTGTTAAAGCTGAGATACTATACAATTCTTGTTTTCTAATTATTTTCCTCCTTTTCAGTTGAGAATTATTTATGGCCACATTGTGTGTCTTGCCCTTAAAACAAATATTCTGTCCATTTCTTCGGTTTCTCTTGTCCTTTGTTCTCTTTAGTCTCCACATCAGACATTATCCTCAAAATTACTGTCAATCAAATTTACCAAATGCTTTCTCAGACGAGTCAGTCCTTCCCATTTCCTTGAGTTAGGCAACCATGTTGTATGTTTAAGATATAAAAATGTCAACAGTCTGGTTATTAATATACATGTCCTATTTGTGGTCCATTATTAGTTACAATCAGTCTGATTTCTGTAGCCATAGGTACATATTTGATGAGCAGAATGAGCCATACATTTTAGTTTAAACATGATATATCACTCAGAATTACATTTTTCAAAAATATGGCCTCAGCTTCTTTAGACAATTACGTTGATATATGTTTTATTTCGTGCGTACAATTCCAGGTGCTATATAGCATTAAAACTTGAGGAAATACATCTTTTGATTTATGAGATAATTAACTGTAATGCATAGATTTGTGGGTTTTTTTTTTCTGTTCAATTCATCTATGATACCTCTACAAGTTTTTGTTGTAAAATACCACTTTCATTGTACTAGTATTAGTCCTCTGCTTAAGCCCTTCCATGATTTTTCACTGGGTCTTTGGAATAAAATCCAAATGTCATGGCCTGCTTTGTAACCATACATAGTCTGTCCCTGACATAAGCTTTCAACCTCATCTTCTTCTTCCCCCCCTTTTCTGAACACTTAACATTCAGTCACGTTCCCAACACATTTGAAGTACTTCTGTTTCTGTGTATTTTTTCAGGCCCCCACTTCACTTCTACCTAAAATGACTTTGCCTCTCTTTTTCATTTACAGAAATCTTATCTGACTTTCATGAATAATTTTTTTCATTTTGCCTGTCAATTGAATTGAGATATTCAATTAAGGGACAAGGAGGGAATATAGTTGGAAAGGGAAGAAAGCATTTGACTATCTTCTGCTTGGCAAGTACTGTGCTGGACAATGAACATATGTTATTTCAACAAGGGATCCCTGTTTCATGAATTCCCATACCATTCTTTTATTTACGAAGACATCATTGTTATCATTATTGTGACCACCTTCATGGACTTTAGTACTAGTATATATCCCACCTTTACCAGGGGTAAAGCATGCCACTTGGTTTTGAGTATAAACAGATGAAGGAGATAATGGTTCTTGGTCCTGGAGGAAAGGCAGGAAGATTTATTAAAAATAATGTGTAATATGTGCAAAAATTTAGTAAACACTACTAGTTCTCAGTTGTTAGTAAATACTGATTAAAATTATGCTGATCAATACTTAGTACCAAAAGAGTGCCTTGAGCAATAAACATTTGTTTTATGAATGAACAGAATTGCCTCCCATTGTTAGTTATATGAGAATATATCTTAGTCACTTTCCTCATCCTTGAGGACAGAAAAAAGGGATACTTTTTATAGAGAGTGAAGCGATTGTAGTATTTGTTGTTTGATTGATGAATTTGTGACTACCGCTATTGAAATTTAAAAAAAAAATGTTTTTGTTTATTTTGAACTAGAGGCCTGGTGCACAAAATTCATGCACAGGTAAGGTCCCTAGGCCTGGCTGGCAATCAGGGCCAATCAGGTCCCCGCCTCCCTGCCTCCCTGCCTCCTCCTTCCCTCACTCCCTCAGCGCCATGTTCTGTGCCACCCCCTAGTGGTCAGCACATGTCATAGCTAGCAATCGAACTCCTGGTCTCCCGATCAAACTCCCAAGGGGACACTTTGCATATTAGCCTTTTATATAGATAGATAGCTTGACTGTAGCTTAATATTCAGCTCTGTTCAGTGTTTTATGCATAATTCTAAGGAAAATTGTTCACAATATATTGTCTTGAAGGATATATGAACCAGAGAATGATCTAAGGTAGGTTAAAGATTCACATGATTTAGAATTAATTGTAGTAAGTTTGGCTAACCAGCACCTGTTCAGGCATGCACTTTTTGTTGAATAGGGAATTGTATTTGCTGCAGACACATCTGTGAACTGAAAGTTTTCTTGTTCACAGTGAGGCATTAAATTCCCTTTTAGAACCCAATTTCTTAACATTTTCCAAAAGACCACTTTTCAAGATACACTACTTAAATTGGCTCTAACCTGAAGTATTTTTCTATTTTTTAAGAATACAATGGTTACTTTTTCTATTATCTTTGGTATTTATTATAAAAATGCATATTTTGCTGGCATTGCCATTGTGTTTGAATAATATACTACAATATATGTCACAATATATAATGTATAATTACAATATACAATGTTACAATAATTTATATACCTAATAGATTGAAATTGGATGTGATAATTTGCTTTTTTTATAAATTGGATTTTGAAAGAAATCTAGAAAGAAAGAATGGAGAGAAAAGAGATCTTTTGAGAAATATAAAACAGACTGTACTATCTCTGCATGTTTCACTTAACTGGTTTTAGACACTATCCTCTTGTTTTGTATATATTATTCCAAGACAGAAAACTTGAAATTTGACCGTGAGCTAAACTAGTATTTTACTCTGAATCTACTACAATAACGGGATGTAGGAAAAGGTTTGTCTTCGCTGTCATGGAAATAGACTTCACACCTGTGAAGGAAGTGCCTGAGTCATGTGATTAACCAAAGCCAACTTCTGCACCTGGAAGTCACAGTGGCATGAAATTTTAATGTTTCTGATGTCACTCACACGTCTCTTTTTCTCTGATAGGTGTTAAAATGGGTAGAGGAAGCAGTGCAGGCCTCCAAAGTCCACCTCTTATCTACAGATCATCTGGAACAGGCTGTGAACACATGGAAAATCCCTTTTGATCCCAGCCTCAAAGAGGTGACTGTGTCCCTGAGTGGCCCTTCTCCAGTGATTGAAATTCGAAATCCTTTAGGTGAGAAATACCAGCATCATATAATAAAATACAAAAGCTGTGAAAGTTGAAAGACTCTTTGCACACTTATGTGTGTTAACTTAATGCTAACTTATAAATAAATGAAAAAATGACTAGGGAAGATGTGTAAAAATAAACCCGTTTTTTTAGTCATAGTATTGAATTAACATGTGATTTTAAAAGCTAAAACTTCTAATAATGTAAACAGATCAGAGTTAGTAACTTAACTGTACTAAACTACCCCCCAAAAATATGTAAGTTGAACCTAAAATTATGTTTTTGTAATCTATGAAGAAATATTTCAGTATTTTGTGATTTTTAAATGAATCACATGAAAAAACTCTTAGAACAACTGTCTAATTTTTTACTGATTATTTTCTTGATAAAGTTTAAATATGAAAAAACTCTTAAAACAACTAATTTTTTACTGATTATTTTCTTGATAAAGTTTAAATTTTCAGATGACAGTTGTTAAAAAATAAATTTATATTTTTATTAAAGTGTTCATTTACTTTGTTTCTATATGTTAAAACCCCAAGAATTGGCTTGATTCCATTTCTGGTCAAATATTACTATAAGTCTTGCATTTTTCAAGTAATCTAGTAAAGACAGAAACCTTATTTTTCCTAATATTTTCACTTAGAAATATTTTTTACTTACTGATATTTGCAAAACATTTTTATTTCCATTTGGCTTTAGTATATGATACATTCTTTTTAAAAAAATGATTTTTAGAGATAGAGGAAGGGAGAGGGATAGAGAGATAGAAACATCGATGAGAGAGAAACATCATTGATCAGCTGCCTCCTGCATGCTCCCTACTGGAAATTGACCCAGTAACTCAGGCATATGTCCTCACTGGGAATTGAACCTGTGACCTCTTGGTTCCTGGGTAAAGGCTCAACTGCTAAGCCACACCTACTGGACTATGACACATTCTCTCTCTCTCTCTCTCTCTCTCTTTTTAATCTATTTGTGACTATTTATAAATGTGAAGGGAGTAACCAGCTTTCCTACTTTATTTAATTTGAGTCTTAGAAAGTAACTAATACCTTAAAGAAAGCAGCATAAGAAATTGTCCTCAAAGGCCACATTCACACTAGCAATCAAATTGAAATTTATAAAGCAAGCAAAACCTTTTTCTACAGGTTTTGGCCTTATACATTGATTTGTCTGGCGATGTAGCATTCCACTGTCATACATCCATGCCACCCAGGAATGATTACTACCTGGGTACTTCAAAGTACCTCTACTCAATGCATTATGTTTCTACTACTTTTAAAGTCATTGACATTGGCACTGATACTTAAAAAGTGATTAATTATTATAAAGCTTTCGATACACACATAGGATCCATATACTAGTATTTGATTTGTTCATGTAACTGCAGGAGTAGTCCATAGGAGAGCCAAGAGTGAAATGGATAACTAAATTATGATTTAACTCCACATTTGCTTTTTTTCTCTCTCTAAAATCCAACGATAAGTTGCTTCCGATAAGTCTCAAATCAATAGGAGGTGGTATTACCCTACTTCATTACACTCCCTCCTTTAATTGTTCCTCTGACAATAAAAGCCTCCTCCTGTGCTTTGTGGAAACAGTTAGGGTTTTACACTTTGTGCAAAGATATGCCTTGAGTGATCTCCAAAAAGACATTTATGCTGGTTTGCTGTTTTGTCATCTATTAAATATAAGTGTCCCTCTCGACTGCACATAATTTTCAGTAGCCATAATAATCGTTATCTAAGAAGACTTTGGAAACATGGCTATAGTCTGCCAATTGTTATTCTCATTTTAAGATCAAATCAGCATAGCAAATGAGAATCTGTTACTTCCGTTCCAGTGCCCAGCAACCCTAAAATTAAGTTCTTTTTGTATATAACTAAAATAGTGTTTTGAGCTATAGAAACAAATGTCCATTAGGTAATTTATAGTGGAAATGTATACAGCTAATATACCTAGCTGAAAGAAAGACCATGCTTGTTAACTTTATGTCTGCCTTTCAGGGAAGCTGATCAAAAAGGGATTTGGCCTGAATGAGCTATTGAATATCCATAACTCTGCCAAGGTGGTGAATGTGAAAGAGCCAGAGGCTGGATTGTGGACAGTGAAGGTACTGTTATTTGACAAAGTCTATTTATTACTTTATTTTGATGTCGGCATGTTCTCTAAAGGGTGCACAATAGCTTACTTATATCTTCTCTTGCAATCATGGACAGTGCTTTTACTAAGAAGCAATCTACCTAGTGCATTTGTTGGTCTCTTGGTCAAATGAATTTGTTAGTGTTAAGTTTTGATGACCATGAAGACATCAGTGCCACCCCAAATACACTTAAAATTTTCAGTTAGTTTTCCTGTCATCAAATCTGTAGATTGATTGTGTTATCTACCTCCTGCCTCTAACGCAACTAGAGAAGGAGACTGTAGAGAATAATGGTTAAGGGGCATAGGCTCTGGTGTGGAAGCCTGGGTTGGAATCTCAGTGCCTCTAAAAAGCTGTATTGCTTTGGGACCGTAGCTTCCCTGTGCCTGGCATTCCTCCTGTGTGATGTGGGGGTGTCAAGATTAGTCCTTTATCTTATTAAATTGTGCGAGAATGAAATTAAGATGACGGAAATAGAATGCTTAGCATAGTTCCCGTTACAAAGCAAGCATTCAGGTACTGTTAGCTATTGTTATTTGACGGGTCTCCATCCATTGTTTACCACAACATGGTACTTGTTTCCTAGAATTACCTTTAAGTAGTGTATATTCACTCTAAGAAAACATTGTACTTTGGCAATCTGGAGGAAAGAACACACAGCCGACATTCAGGATATCGGGATACCATAAACCTGGGATCCAGGTCTGCAAATGGTGTGTGTGACCCTCTGTGGTAGATGTTCTGAGTAACATATTTCTCAGCCTTTTTCGTGTGCCCTGGCCTCCTTCCAGCTCCAATGTCTGCATTTCTGCGTCTGCGAGTTTTTTTTCCAGAACAAGAGAAGGCTGTTCTGCTGGGGAATTAAACCCCTCAGGAAAGCTGTGAGCCCCACGGGGATAAGCTCCAGCTGTCTACGTGGGAGCAGGATGAACAGCACACCCTTAGTGGTCTGCATTCCTCCCTGGGATCACTTCCCCTCTTCCTGTCAGCATCCTTTGCACCTCCCAAATAAACGACTTGTTCCAGAGTCCTTCTGGGACAACTCGAATGAGGATGCCCCTTGCAGCATTTTCTCCTTTGCTGTCTTGGCTTCCCTACATAAGCCGTGGGATTCCTGGGCTCTTGCGTTAAATTAGAGAGCTGCTGTGAAAGTGTGGGGGGTGTTACACTCTGCACATTGGAAGTGCCCCTTTTGCACTTCAGTTTTTGTTTTTCTTTTCTTTTTTAAGAATACTTGAAATTTCCAATTGTAATTCCATTCAAATCCTAGAATATCCGTTCTTTATTCTCAGAACTCTGAGCTTTTGTAGGAAAAGTAGAAACGTAATACTGATTTTTTTTTGGGTGGGGGAGGTGGATAAGATGGGATAAGGGTGTAGGTAAGAAGGCAATATGAAATAATAAACTCTGGGAATTTCTTACTGAATAGACCGAAAATGGCCCCATTTTCCCATTGTATTTACCCAGTTCCTTGCATATAGTAGTTGTTCAGTAATTATTAAGTGCATTAGGTTAGCAACAATGAAGTGTTTTGCTGCTATATTTTGGCAAATTTGATGTGATAGTTATTTTGACCAACTTGCACAAAATATCACTCGTGTTGAGTGTGTCTTTCTGTGATCCCAGTAGGAAGGAGTATAAGAAATTCTGAGTCTCATTTTTTTTTTAATCATTGTAAGCACAATCTAAGCCAGCAGTGTCCTGAGCTAGCTAGTCTATTAAGGCAATTCAGTGTTGCTTTCTGAATAGAACATTAAGGTATTGACGATTAGCAACTTATTGTGAGTATTTGAACTCATTTTCAAGGTGATTTGGATTGCTACCAGTGGTATTTCCTCTAGTACAGTTCTTGCCCAGAAGAGGGATAAGGCATGTCTGTTTTATCTTGTGACTGCCACACCTACTCATTGTCATCCATTCAATAAACATTCGGTGAGTGCTTGCTCTTGGCAATGTTCCTGATACTTAATGGGAACTAAGCACATTTTAATTGATAATTAGAACAGAAAAGCACTGAGGATTAGTCTGTGAGTGAGGAGGGAGAGGATAAGGTGATGAGGCGATGGGAACTCTGTTTAGACAAGTCTCTAAGCGCAGCTTCCTATAATTAAGAAAACAATAAGACAGTATTTATTATTATATTATCTTAAATTTATGTCTAGTCCTCACCTCTGGTTCTGATGTTACACCATTTCTAGAGTACAATTAGTCGTAACTAAACAAAGGATAAGTGTTACAGGGCGACTTCAAGATAATGAACATATTTGCTCCAATGTGAAATACCAAAATAAGGTATTGGTTTAATAATGCGAAGGGAATTGAGCTGAACCGACTGACGTAAATATTGGTGCTGACTTTGGATCTCCCTTTTGGATGGTGAATGAATGATAATGTTTTACATGTGTGCTTTCTCAAGAGGAAACATGCCTGAGATTAGATAGCACTGTATATCCCTGGTGCTATCCCCCATGCACTCTGCTATCTGGAAGATGCCTGCTCTATCGGTAGAATTAATTATGGCTTTTGAGTGCTTCACATATCAGTTTTTATCCCAAATATGGAGAACAATCTATTACTTGATCTTAGCATGGTAGTCAAGGACCAGCCAATGGAGCCTCAATCAGTCTTTCTAGTTCTTTTCAATCACTTTCCTTCGTACTCTAGCAAATAAAATGTACTTAAAAACAGATATATGTATATGTATATGTATTTGATAGCATATATATATATATATGTTTTTTAATTGATTTCAGAGAGGAATGGAGAGGGAGAGAGAGAGAAACATCAGTGATGAGAGGGAATCATTGATCGGCTGCCTCCTGCACACCCCACACCGGGGACTGAACCCACAACCTGGGCACGTGCTCTGACCGGTAGTGGAACCGTGATCCTGGTTTGTAGGTCAATGCTCGACCACTGAGCCACGCCGGCCGGGCATAAAATATACTCATATCCTCCCTCCTACCACATTACTGTTTCTTTTCCTGGAATTCCTTTCCTTCCAACGAATCCCCTAAACCTTAAATGGCAACACTGTCAGCAAGTCTCGTCTGACTTTTTCTGTCTAAAATGCTCTCTTTCCCTCTGCCTTCTCCTGCAATCTTTCTGCACCTCCGTTTGGATTATTTACACCCTTATTTCATATTTATTTCTGTATAGATTTTCTCTTCCTGTTTTACTGCAGGCCAGAATTTGTCACTATTATGTATACTAGTGCATGTCACAATGCCTGGGAAAGAACTATAGAAGTACTCATGAATAAAAAGTAATATATTCATTCTGACGATATCTAAGGAAGCAGGCCAAAGGGTTGATTTAGTTAGCCTATAGTTGATGTACTGGCACAAAGCACTTTCACTTTTCCATGATTTAAAATGCTATGAGAGTGGCGTTCTTTTTCCTTCCGTGGGTTCCCTCTGGAACCCTGGTAATTGCTTTCCTGTAGTTTTTTGGGGCACTTTTACTAAAGAGAAATAATGAGTCAGCTTATCTGTATGGTCCATTTAAAAGACTCAGATATTTTCAGTTGCCTCTGAGGCAGGTAAAAACATGTTAAAAAGAGGTAACTGAAGTTTTATTACAAATAAAAGAGAAGGCTGTTTTCTGTCCCTGAATTCTCATTTGTGGGGAAGCTACAAATCCTGGATCTTATTTCTGAGAAGCAGTATAAATTTTCCATTCAGGGAGTTATATCTATATATAGAGTATTTGAACATAACCACGGAACTCTTGGGCCAGATTTTGTGTCCTGGTCTTTAAGGGGAACTCCCAGCAAAGATATTAAGTAGTTGTCAGCACCCATTGGATTTAGGTGGTACAAGCTGTTTCTATTAGTCTAGGATTATCAGTGTGATCATGTAACTTAACACATCCCCTGGGGTATCTTTCCATTAAGTATATTTGGATAAACTGTCCTGAGATAATCGCCCAAGGAGAGAAGGGAGTGTACCCAACCACGTGATTATATTGAGATTTGGAGACTAGTAGAAATATTTTGGTTTTAGATAGCTCTGTTGGTTGCCAGAATCTACCAATGCATTTTCTAAGGATCAGGATATTTTATGCCATACTCAAGTGGCATAAGCTTGTTCAGGAATCATAATTAAATAAGCCTCCAGTCTACAAAGGCCCACACAAGAAGAATATTATGCTGGCTTCCAATTATTCTCACCTGGTGACTCTTTTGAATAAACCTGAAGACTACCCCAGGTGTGGTATTTAAAGGGATTAGGTGAAGCATTAATTCAATGTTTTGGGTCAATGGAATGTTTCGTAGATTTTTTTTCCTGGAAAATTTCCCAATTGTTTTGGTCTGCCAATATCAGAGTGTCAACCAAATGGAATGTTTCCTTTTTTAATATAAGGATATCTGTACACGTGTGTGTATATAAATGAGTATGCATGTTACATATATTGAAATAGTTTATTCTATGCTTTGGGTACATTTATCTCCTTATATCACATTTTTCTGAACATACAATGCCTAATAAAATTATAGTATTTAAACTTGGCTGGCATTATTATATCTTTGTGTTTGGCACTGTGTCCAGTAAGTTCTCATTAAATATCTGATTGAAACCATAATATTCTTTAACTTGTAAAGAATGGCCTGTCATTTAAGTACAAATACTTTGAAAAGAGCTGGGCATCTATTGTAATTCAAGATCTACTACTTAATATCTTTTTGACCTTGGAGAAATGACCTAACCTCCCTAAGTCTAAGGAAAAGGGGGAGGGGATGCCTACTTAATATTGTCATGATTAAATTAGATGTTGATAAAGTACTTAAATGGGTTTTGGACACATGAATAATAAAATTAATTGAATTATTCTTTTTTAATATGTGTACATTTTCTCTATACTTTCTATTAATGGAGATACACACAGTTTTTCAAAAGGTTTGGACTTGTTGATTATTTTATGAAACATTGAAATTCTTTAGGAGGCATGAAAGCCAGCTCTATTAGTTA